CTGAATTCAACTCAAGGTCTGTTTTGAAGGATTTTGGCCACTCTTTAGAGCTGGTTCAGCTCCATGGGAATCATACCCTGCTCTGAATGGCTTCCAGATGCTGATTCATGTGAGGTCTCAAGTAGGAAGCTTCTCTGGCCTAAGCTAGCCTGGAGAACTGGGTGTGAACTTCTGCTCTGCCACTGACTTGCTTTGTGACCTTGCATAAGACATTTTGCATTCCAGTTTTCTTCTTTCTGCAAAATGGGGTTAGGGATATAATCTTACTTCAGAACATTCTGAGGCTTAATTAATTGTGATGTACTGTGATCCTAGGCTGAGAACAGCTAAGAAAGCATGAAGTACACAACCCAAAACATTCTAAAATGGTTCACTGCACTGCCCAGCAACCTTCAAAACACTCCGGGCAGTTTCTCATGCTTTTATATTCCAGTTGATCCTTCCTCCCACAGCTGCCTTAAACAAACAAACCATTAGAAAGAGGAACATGATACGACAGAGATTCAACAGCAGTTTAAGCACAGCTCCTGGGTCTAAGTCAGCATGGGCTAGTGATTCCTTTGCAACCTTGAGCAGCTCTGCCAAGCTCCATCTTCCACTTCCCTGTTCTCCAAACTCTAATGGTACCATTTGGACCCCCATCTTCTAGGGGCATAGAGGTAGGGCATATTCCCCTGCCTCATGCATGGAAATGGCTCATTACAAGTGAAATCTTACATGTTTATCCCAGAGTTTGTTCCAATGTACAGGTAAGCTGTTCTGAGTCCAGACTTACTGTACACTCACGTGCACAGAAGTTACATCATTTGAGCAAAGCCTTCCCAGACAGATGGGAGGAATCTGAACAAGGTATTTCCTTTATTTCCTGTGCTCCTGCAGGAACAACCAGGCTGCCCTAATTCAACAGATTGAACATGACAGTCAGGATGGAGTCACTTCTGTCAACATGATGTCACAAGTTCCTGTACCATGTAAGCATGAGGACAAAGGGGGTGATCCCCTGGCAAGGCACAGCACTGGAACCTGGTGGTGGATATCTAGGAAATTTACTCAAAGTAGCTTGGTACCCTGAAGAAGTTGTAGGGTGTTCACAAATAACTCTAGGTTAGCAATTAGTTTTTGCCTTGCTCTCTGTGGCAACCAACACTTCTTCATGAAACATCCCAACATTTTACATCCATTTCCATGCACCAGTTCAACAACTGGTGGCACTGCAGGTGACAGAACACTGCTTTGTTAACTAGGCCCATTTGAAATCTGTTTTGGCTACTTCTTATTCTTGTGGAAGGGAGCTGCTAAAACACAACACAGCTGATCTAGACTCAAAATTCAATGTGAGGTGACAGCATTTAACACGTACGCAAATCAGGGTCATCAGAGACTACTTCAATGCTCCTTTGAAATAAATAGCAGAAAATAGGGATATACTGGCAGAATTTCTTATAGAAAATTGGTAAGACTGGACTGCCATCTCATGGGTAGTGACTAACCTGAGATTGTACTCAATTTATGAGAGGAAAAAAACCTGCATTGATGCTGTCACATTTGGTAAAAACAGATGGCTTTGTAACATCTTCCTCTTTAAGTTATTAGTATACCATCCTTACTTATTTTCAGGTTCTTTACTCACACTGAAGAGATTTAAGGAAAGGAAGAAAGACACACCCTAATGTGTGTGTACTTCAGCTGAGCTGAAGTCAGTGCCAGCAGCAGCCAAACCAACGAGCTGCTGTTCTGCCTTCTGTGCATTTCAGGTGGATGTGGCCATGGACAGCGCCACACTGTCCTCAAGTTCTAGACCTGTTGAGAGAAACAGAAACTCAAAGCTATCCTAAAGCTCCAGTGTCTTAGCCATTTGGTAAGGATAAAAGATTGGAGGATTTTGTGACTTTAAACTGGTACCACTGGTGCTCTTTGCAGGGGGTGTTATTCCTCCTGTGAGGTGTTATTCCTGCTCTGCAAATTCCTCTGCAAAAGCCAGGGATGTAGGAGCTGAGGTTAAATCAGAGTTTGAACACAGAGAATGTGTTCTGCATGTTGCTAAGCTTGCAGAGTCACCTTGAACATGTCACTGTTCACCAGGCTTTGCAGAGCACCCTGAGGTCTGACTGGAGCACACAAGAGGAGCACACCAGCTCTGTCTCTTTGGCCAGTTCACTGTTGCATTCAAATGTTCACTATTTTGACATTATCACTGTCATTCAGCAATCCATGAAATTGCCCATTCCAACTTGCTTTTCTAGGTCTTATCCTTGTATGAGCTTTTAAAATACAAGTGGAGGGATTTAAATGACCTTCAGAAATAAAAGGCTTCTACATGGTAAGTATTATTCTCATTTCTAAGATGCTGAAATAAAAGGTTGTCTGGTAGAGGTTGGTCTGGTTCTATACAGAATGACTCCAGTATCACAGCTATTGAAAAAAACAAGTATTAAATAAAACCATAAATATAACAGATGATGCAAGAAAAATGCAGTTAGAGAATTATGAGAGCATTTTGTAACCCAGCAAGACAGTAGTTTCAGATGTCAAGACTTCTACTTCAGTGAAGTGTGTATTTTTAGACTAACCATCACTATTTATCGATTCTGCAATGCCTCTCTCCACTCTAATGTGCTGCAGAATTCTGAGTTATGTACAGACCTTAGGAATGCAGAAGCCATTACGACCACTCTTCACTAGATAATACTCTGCACTTCCTAAAGGCAGGAGATAAAGTAGGTAACAGATTTCCTAAAATCATTCTGTATTTGGCAGCAGAGGGACTGCCATTTCCATGCTGTTTCTAGATATATCACTGAACTTGCAGCAGCTCCAAACCACAACCCAGCTGGGGAGTGACAGAGGAAAGGAAGAGTTTCTCTCTCTCTCAAAAAAAAAGCCATTAATATACCTGAGAGTTCAGGTGTAAGAGGAAAAGAGATAAAGTTAAACCTGTATTAAACTAAGTAAGTACTGCCAAAGAAAACATGTAATTTTAGTAAATAGGGAAAAATAATAAAAGCACCAACAGGGAAAAAATGCAGCTGTGATGTAGAACAGCTTAGGCGTCCGGGAGATTTACTGTCATCTACTTACAGAAACTCATTTTTCCCACATGTGGGAAAATAATATTCTTGCTGAGAAGACAATTCTATTTCAGTTCCTTAGATCGTAATTCTTGCTTATTTCTTCACTCAGCTCAAGTCACTTGTCTGTAATAGGACAACATATCATCTAAGCTTTGGTAGAGTGGTTCCTGATGTGCAGTGTCACTGCTGTCAGTCTGCACTGCAGGTGCCACATCCTGGGTGCCACTGGCCTGGGTTCCTGGTGGTGGCACATCTTGGGCACTGCTGCTGCCACAGGTGTGTATTCCAGGTGGCACATCCTGAGTGCTGCAGCCACAGGTGTGTATTCCTGGTGGCACATCCTGGGCACTGCAGCTACAGGTGTGTATTCCAGGTGGCACATCCTGAGTGCTGCAGCCACAGGTGTGTATTCCTGGTGGCACATCCTGGGTGCCATAGCCATAAGGCTGCATGGAAAAGGGCACCTCATGGGCGCCGTAGCCGTAACTGTGCATCGGTGGTCCCACCCCTGGTGCTCCGTAGCCGTAAGGCTGCACTGGGAAGGTTCCTCCGTGGGCACCGTAGCCGTAACCCTGCATGGGTGGTGGCACAGCTCTGGCACCGTATCCGTACGGGCACACAGGTGGGGGCACACCTCGGGGTCCATAGCCATAAGGCTGTGCTGGTGGCAGCATGTCCTCATCACTGCTGTCATCCTCCCCTGATGACGACACCCCCTGGGTGTCACGGCCACCAGTCTCTGCTGACCCTGGATTATCCTGAGCTTTGCTGTTGGAAGCCTGTGCTGATGGGGGCACATCTCCAGCACTGCTGCCATTGCCCTGTGCTGATGGCATCTGTTGGTTCTGTGCTCTCTCCGTTTCCAGTTTTTCAGAGGAGGTTTCAGGACTGCTCAAATTCCAACTTCTGTAACTATCATCTTTCTTTTGTCCCAAATAGTAATCAGAGGGTGGTGCAAATTCTGGATCTCGCTCATCTCTAAGTTCTTCCTGTTTCTTTTCCCATAGTCCAAACATCAGTTCTGTTAGAAACAGGAAAATGGCAGATTTAGCAGAGATTTCAGGGTGCGAAGATCAGTCAGAAAATAAATTAGGAAACAGAGAAGATGCAACTGTGTAAAGCCACCTCAAGTTACTTTTTCACCTAGTACTATATAGAAATATGAGAATCTAGTGGAGATGCCTTCAGTGAACCACAGTTATTTCACTCTGCATTTTAGAGTAAGCTGTCCTCTGCTTTCTGAGTGTAGTATCTGCTGCATAGTTCAGTGCTGCTTGGGTGTCAGTACCAGGATTCCTCAGCCGTAGGAAAACAACAGTGCCAGGCAGGATAAGTAATTAACATGTAGGATCTAAAGTCTAGGTTTTAATGGAACCACAGTTTCCCCTCAAAATGATGTATCATCATCTTTCAGTATCATCCTGTACCTGCCTGTGTAGCACATCCTGCCATTATCTGGCACAAACCACGAAGTACATCAAGAAAAGCTCATACTGAAAGACAGTAAATCTTATGAACTATGGAATTTGTCATTCTGTCAACCTGTCTGGATCATCCAGAAATGGAATAACTGGTATAGAAGAAAAAATTATGGGAACATTACAGCAGTTACTGGCATCAAGGCAGCCTCGTCAGTCACTGCCCTGGACTCTACACAGTCACTCATACCAAGGCAGAAAGGATTTCATTGCTTCTCAGTCTCACCTACTTTGTCCCAAAACAGAAATGAAAGTAGCAGTGTGCACACTGTTTCCCAACAATGTTCCTGAATCTACATTTCCTTACCTTTGCCTTTATCCCACTCTCGGACATAAGGCACACCAGGCTTTGTATCTCTTCTCTCCTGGATGACAACCTCGACCTTTCTGCTTGCTGCAGTAGCTCTTGGAGGTTCTGGTTCCTCGGCAGCACTTTTCAGCTCTATGTTACAGGAAGAGATAGGAGGGTTTGTTAGTTACAGGATAAAATCTATATGAACCTCACAGGTATAAAAAAGAGGAGCATTAGCATGTTATCTCCATTTCATATAGTGCAGAAAACAATTTGCATTCTTACTCTTCTGAACAACCATAACAGTGAGCAGTGGTACATTACTGATCTTTGTTTCCAGAACACTTCACAGGTAATCACTTGCATAGAATTCTGACACGGTAAAGTAGTAGCTGCATTTTACAGTGGGAGACAGACAGTACAAGTTGACTATCAGTGTCATAAGGGAGAGAGAACAGAGATGGGCTTAGAATTCAAATTCATCACCCCAAATCCTAAAGTCAGCTGTGTCTCCAACTTACAGACTGCACTGAAAATGCTGCAGTGTATATTGTATGATACAGAAATTGAATGTTTACTATTTTTTATTCTACAGACTGCACTGAAAATGTTGCAGTGTATATTGTATGATATAGAAATTGAATGTTTACTATTTTTTATTCTACCTCATCTTAAAAATAGAAACAGCCAGGAAAATGTCAGCAGCTCTAAACCTCAACGTGCGTAACTCACCCACATAATTCCT